CAACCAGGTGCCCTCACTCCACTCCTCATTTGAGTCCCCACATGGCACTCAGCCCTTCACAGTTTCACCTGCTTAGAGTCAGAAGCACCTTCCCCATGGGCAAGTTGTTGGCCAGCTCTTGCTTCAGTTCCTATCTGTGGAGTGAAGTGGTCTCTAAGGTCCTTCCTGGGACCAGTCTGTGTGACCCATAGGAAGTCCACAGAGTTCTGGGGAATCTGAGGAGAGGTGCATGGTGTAAGGGGTACCCTGGTAAAAGGAGAGTTTCTGATAAGAAGATCTTAATAAATGGGAGCTCTCTAGAGAGGAGCCCTGGTAGGAATACCCAGTGAGGGCTGATGGGGAGAAGCCCAGGAGAAAGAGGATTCTGGAGAAGGAAGGGGTTTTCTGGTGGAGGGGCCTTGATTAAAAGGGTACTCAGTGAGGGGGCTCTCACAAAATGGCATTATAAGATTATGCCCTTGGTGGGAAAATTTGGGGGCTGGGGGAGACTTGGTGAGTTGGGCTGGTTCAGGGGTCAGGGACTCTGTTAACCACTCTCGCCTCCTGTCTTCCAGGCTTACAGCTTCGCCATGGGCTGCTGGCCCAAGAATGGACTTCTAGACATGAACAAGGGTCTCAGCCTGCAACACATAGGCCGGCCCCACAGCGGCATTGGTCAGTCCCTCCGCAAATCCCCCTGGCAGCTCGGTCAGTTCCCTGCCCACGTGCCCCAATCCCCTGGCACACAGAGGGTTTCCATGGCTCACTCAGTGCCCCCACAGGGTTCTCTCCATAGCTGGGGAGAGGAGGAAAGGGAGGATGGAATGAGGACCATTGGAAAGAACATCTCTAAACAACATTTCAGAGGAGGCTGGGGTTTGGGTTTTGGGTGAGTCACAAGTGGCCTTGGATTCAGGCCAACATTCCCCAACCCCCTTGCCCACATCTCTGGTGGGCAATGTCCTCAGGGAGGTGGGCACATGTCAGCTTACCCGTGGAGCTGGAGGAAGCTGTTTAATATTGTTTCAAGTGTGTGGCCACTAAACTGGACGATCAATGGGAGTTAAGGAGATGAATTATTTAAACCTCACCAGCTTTTAATTAGTCGGGGTCCTTCTGACCGATGGCTTCGTCCACAGGGTATTGACTCCCCTGTAGGAGCAGCAGCCTCCATTGAGTGGTGCCTGGGTTGGGAGGGGCTACTTGGGGTACCAGAAGAGGGTACACTTTCAGGAGATTCCTACTTGGAAGGATACTAGAGTAGCTGTGATTCCCAGCACTTGGAGGCTCTCTGAGCTTCTGATAAATCAGCATGAATATGTGTCTGTGAGTATCACTGTGTCTGCCCATGCCGGACACTTTTAGCTGTGTGTCTGTGCAAGAGTATAATGTGTCCATGATTGTGTATAGCTGTTTGAAGGATGTGTATTCATAACAACACATCTGTATTTTTCTGAGTGCATGAGTCTGTACATGGAAGCAGCTACCAGCCTGTGTACCTATCTGTCAGAAAGAGTGTCTGTTCATTTCTCTGTCTCTCATTTTGTGTGTATATGCATGTGTGTGCATGCAAATGCTTCCAAGTGACATAGGCTTTGTTCCAGAGGAGGAGCCAGGGTGTTCCTGGGTGGTGCTGTGACCTTATCACAACTGGATTACTTTGGGGAAGGTATCCTTGGTGGGGACTGGAAAGATACATCAGGAGGTACCTGCTACAGACTAACCCCTTTATCCATTCCACATTCACTGGTGCCTACTGGACACTGAGCACGCTCAGTAGAAATTCCTGTCCTCGGGGAGCTCACATCCTGGGAGAAAATAGAGACTGAGGGCTGTGATAACCACATCTGGATTGCCCCAAGGGAGATTTTCCCTGTTCTCAGTTGCCAAAGTAGGTTCTACTTCTTCACTTACATCTTGCTGACTCCTGGGATGCCCCATATCATTTTTGTTGGGATATCCCCAGGCTCCCCAAGAGACTAGGGGAAAGAACAACAGGCCTGGGTAGGAGAGAATACCACCATAACAACTACTCCCTCCCATCGCAGGTTTTCCATGCATCCTAGAGAAGACATTCAACCCAGCTAGGTGATATACTTGTAAGGTCAGCAGGAAGTGTTCTAGAGAAGAGGTCACTTGAATTGGGATGCTTGACAGATGAATAAGAGTTGCCAGGCAGAAAACAAAAGTAGAGAGACTGTGTGCACAAAGGCCTATAGCTATGAGAAGCCCAACATATTGAGAGAACAAGTTCAGAAATAAACAAGTAGTTTCTCCAGACTGAAGTAGAAAATTTAGGTTAGGGATCAGCTAGAAAATGGAAAAATAAGCAATATCTTGAATGCATGGTTAAAGGATGGATCCCCCCCTTCCCCCCACCCAAGGTTTAGAGGAGACATAGAATAGTCATGAGTGAACAGAGTTGTGATTCAGAACCAATGAGGCAGTTTGTGCTACACAAAATTAGTTCTTACTAGGTGCTCAATAAATGCTTATAGATGGATAGACAAAAACCTGGGTGAGTAAATGAATCACTTTGGAAGAGTGGTGAGAGGGGAGAGACCAGAGAAAGAAGACCCAGGAGAAAATCAGCACTGATCCAGGGGAGGAGGAGCTACCCATATTGGAGTCTAGCAGGGGGAAGAGCAGCAGAACTGAGTGAACACAGGCTACATGGCCTTAAGTTAGGTATACTGCTTCTGTGTGTATGTTCCCAGGATGTTTGAGAGGGGAAACAGCTCCCTCTGCCCACTCCTTGTTGTCTCTTGAGACTTAGTGATAACCTTCTTGTATGTTCACCCTTGATATCCTGTGACATATCACCTCTTTTAGAGAAAAAGGTTTCTCCATCTGGGTTGGTTCCCGGGGTAGCCCAGGGATCTGAATGCTAATACAGTATGGGCTTTGAAACCAGAAGTAGATCTGGCTCTACCATGCTAAACCCTGGGCCCTTAGATAAGAGGCAGTGCTACCTGCCTCTCAGGGCTGCTGGGAGGCCCTGTGCGTAACCTTGTAAAGGACTTGTGTAATGCCCGGCCTGCAGCAGGTGCCCAGAGAGCTCCCTCTTTGTGGCCCTGCCAATACCAGGTCTCTCCAGGGCACTGGCAGCTCTTGGCACTAGGTCTTTGTAGTCTTTGAATGAAGAGGGCTGCCCTGCTGGCTCCTGGCTGGCTCTGAGGTGTGGGTGAGGGTGCTTGGAAGGGAGGGAGGATGCAGGGCATTAATTGGGCTGGGAGAGGCAGGGAGGGGAGGCGTGGGTTTTGAGCAGTGAGGTTAATGGCCCTCGCGCCAAAGAGACAGCTTTAATGAGCTTCAGCTGGCGGTGCCCCGAGTTACTGTGCGTGCTAAAAGGGTCGCGCTGTAAGAGTTTGATGTGGACTGCTTCCCAGCCCTGGGGTCAGGGGTCAGCTCCTGTCACTGGCCACTCAGGCTGGTCCTCAGTGACATGGTGCTAATTAACTGTGTGAGGAGCTGCCAGCCTGGAGTAGGGAGTGGTATGTACATTGGTGGTGGTAGGGGGGGTGGTTGAGACAGAATTGGGTGATGCTGGGCAAGGGTTCTGCAGAGCCCACTGCTTAGCCATCTCTAGAGTCTGCTTGGTTCTTCCTCAGTGCCACGGGGGTATAGCATTGATGGTACAAAAGTGCTGAGAGAGCAAGGAGGAGGGCTTGCTGGAGCAGTGGGGTGACAGGTGTGGGGCTAAGAGATAAGGCTGAACGAAGCAAGAGGGCCAGCTTGCATCCTGAGGTGTTTGAAGGGGAGCCATGGGAGTATTGGGGACAGGAGAGCAACCAGCAGGAGTTGTGCTTCAGCCAGAGCAGTCCCGTAGTTTGTATAGGAAGAACTGGTGAAGAGTCTTCGGACAGGGAGGCCAGTGGGAAGGTACAATAAGGTAAGCAAGAGGTGATGGGCAATTGAGAGCCAGGGCAGTGATTATGGGAATGAAGACAGGGAATAGGTAAAACTTCTGTTTATTCATTAAATGTTGCACTTACTATGTGTCGGAGCTAGAGATAAATAGGTAACGATGACATACACTGTGCCCTGTCCCCACTGAGTTCAGAGGTAGAATTGTGACCTTGCCTCTGGGCACCAACTGAGAAAGAAGGCAGGTTTAGGCATAGCTAAGGAAGGTCCTGAGGTGGTGGAGTATGGGCTGTGACATCTTAGCAGAGGTGGGACACTTTCTCCAGGGGTGGTGGACTTAGCCTTGAGATCGAAATGCAGCTCTGTCAGCATCTGCGGTTTGGGCCAAACGCTCTGAGGCAGGGCAGCCTCCACAGAGGACTGCTGACTGTTCCTCTTTCTTTCATTTCAGCAAAGGGTCAGTAAAGTACTCACGTTATGTGGGGACATTTTCACACCAGTTCCATGAAAGCAAGCATCATCACTCCCATCCTATAGAAGAGGAAAACTGAGGCTCAGTTGAGAGACTCTCCAAAGTCACACAAATTTAGAAAGGAGCCAGGATTCAAACGCAGGTGCATTAAGTGCAAAGACTGTGTCCCTACCACTGTGCTAACCTAGCTTTTTGGTGTTGGGCTTTTTGCTGCCAATAAGATGATACAGAAGATGACAAGCTCACTTCCTTTATATACCTTTGTGCCATGCAAAATATTTGGGCCTTGACAAAACTTTGGTGGCAACAGCTGAGGAAGAAAGAAAAGGAGGCATAGCCTTCCATCAGCTCTGCTGGAGTTACCCTGAAAGCCAGGTCCCTGCACCTACTGGCCTCTGTCCTCCTCTGGCCCTAACAGTTCTCCCTCTGAGATTGCAGTTTACTCTTTACCTCTTGGCCCAGGAAAATCCTGCCCATCTTTAAGGACCACTTTCTTGGGGCCTCTTGCCTGGCCTTCCTAAGTATGAGTGTAAGGAAGATAGGCTTTTTGGCCCATTATAATCTGTCAGAGGCAATAACCTGGCCCTTCATATTTGGGCTTTTTGAGAATGGGTCTGGGCTCCTTCTTTTCCTTTTTTTTTTTTTTTGGGAAATCTTCACAGGAAGTATCATAAAATCTCACCTGCTATCGTGATAGGGAGGCCCCACAGACTGCTGGTTTCAGCTGGCAGGAAGCATAACTGGAACCTTCCTGATGCCCAGCTAGGTGGTCCTGCCCTGGGAGCTTAGCCCCTCTGCAGTTCATGGACAGAGACCCAATGGACTCTCAGGAGCTTGCTGCCCAGCACCGTCCAGCAAAAGAACTGAACTGACAGGTGGCAGGGTGGGGACTTGGCCCCCAGGGGGGCAGTACTGGCCTGTGGTCTCCCCTGAAGGAGTGGGGTGTCTATCAGAGTCCAGTCAGAATGCATTAGCTCTGTGACACGGATCTCATTAGTGCCCGTGAGAGGTGTCACTGCGGGAGAATCGTCGGCTCAGGGAGACGCTTGTACCAAAAGGAAGAAAGGACAGTGACAGCCTTTTCTCTGCCGCCTCTGCCGCCACGCTCACTGGGCCGCCCGCCCTCCTCCTGGTGGGGGGGTGGGGGGTGCTAGCTAATGAGCTCCTCTACAGTACAGCTCTTTGCCTTCCCCTCCTTGAAGTTTCCCAGGTCCCTCTGAAGACCTCAGGCCCTGGATTAGCACACACCAAACGCCAGCCCCCTCTGGCCCAGCAGGGAGTTCCTTCTGATCACCCTGCTCTTGCACCATGGGCAGGGGAAGGAGGTGGTGCCAAGACAGGCCAGGGGAGGGGGCCTCGCACCCCTAGG